AGCACGTTAAGGGATACAACAGTGTGTCCCGATAGGTAGGTAGGTAGGTAGGTTGGTAGATATTATGAGCTTCACTCTTTATCTTAAAAGCCAAAAATCCAGCGATTCTCCTTCCTTCCTTGTCCAAAGTACAAGTGCACTTCACATCCAGACTGCTTTATTAACTCTGCCCTGTCTCTCTCCAGGTAATTTTAAATCACACAGGGCTTTATTTTTTTCCTGAGGTGATTTCACCCAGGGTTAACACTTCATTCACACCGCCACTATTCAAAATGCTCTGCTCAGGAGCTGAACAATGATACATTTGAACGCAATTATCAGGAACTGTCTACATTTGAGAACCAAGGATATGGTTTGGTACAGGGGGACATGGTTTTGGTACAGTCTGAAAAAAATACTTGGCTGGCATATAGTTTTTATGCTATACAAAGCATATATTCCTCAGAGAGGATGATTTCCACTCTGGTTAGTAAGAGCACTGATTTGAATAGTGTCCAACTCTGCTGCAAAAGCCTCTTCTCCCCCAGGTGAAGGTAGGAGAGCAGCGGGTAGATGCTCGTGTGCTCACAAGCAGTGATACAGTCATCCCAGCACAGGCACACCGCACAGCATCTAGACCTACTAGATAATTTCAAGATTGCAATAAACCAATGCTATATTGATAATCCTGTATTTTCAAGCAATTTTAAGGAAAGCTAAGTGCATGCTAGTGGTAATATACTTCAGTGATTATCTCATACATGGTCACAGAAGCTGATCTGTTCTGCACCCATATGATCATACACCAAAATGCTAAAACATGCCAACGCTCACAATTCAACTGCAGTCCTGCCATAGATCACAGCAGGAAAGCAGGGCTCACCATGGTGTGCACAACAAAAGGCATATGGAAGGAGGAAGGTCCCAGGAAAGAGGGAGAAGAGCAAGGCAAGACAGACGAAGGAGCAGAAGGAACCAGTTAAGACCCCGAAAAACTTAGAATTCTTTGCCTAGCCAAGCACAGAAAGCATATTTTACATATTAACTCATGTCACACTTGTATAAACTAGTATTAATGTAGTAGTAATAATGTGCACACAGTCCTATTCTAGAAAGGACAGGGCTTCACATTTTGATTTGATGGAGACCAAGAAGAAGACTCTGCTTGCAGACATGACAGTAAGTGCTGATGGTTTCAGAAGCAACTCAAACATTTCTGTTTCAGCTGTTGCTTCAATGAACATACCCTAATTAAAGGAAAAAATGGCTGCAAAATCTTCTTCTCACGAAACTACATTACACTAAGTGATTCATACCCACAGTCATTTCTTAAACCTAACCTTTTAATACAAATGACCGAGGATGGTACAGTCTTGAGTAGTATTTATTTTCCTTCTAGCTCTTAAGGATTGCTTGCAACAAAGCAACACACAAAATTACGCTCTGCTGTCTAACGTGGCATGTGACTCCCCCAAGCAAGGATGAAGCCGAGAAGAAGTGGAGGCGCAAGCGGCGCTGCAACACAGCGGCAGCTCCAGCAAGGTACTTCCAGAGCCGAATTAAGCTGGGAATCAAACTCACTCTTGGAAGAGCGTGCAGAGGGAGTTTCGGAGGCGCGCAGAGCTGGAACCGCTCCCCAGATGGTTACAGCCGAACACAGAGCCGAGGCAGCGGGAATGACCCCAACGGCTGGACCCACCAAGACCCGCTGAGCAGGCGCGCACACGCGCAGGGGCAATGGGGCAGCCCGAAGGGCACCTCTCGCGGGGATGGCTACGCACCTGACAGTAAAACTACAGTAAAACTACACGAGCTTTTGCACACTGCAGGCCAAGAACTGGCGTTCTTATAACCTCAGCTGGCTTCCCCATTAACTTTTGTTGGAACTGAATATATGCAATGTCCTCTCTTCAATCCACTCTTACACGGAACCAGTTTAGGGCAATATATGATCACACTGCACATTTTCACTTACAATGGAAAAAACCCTATCAAATCCCTGCGCTTCGTGCTGCTCCTGCTCAGTTTAGCACTTGGAGACACGGCTGCACTCAGCAGCCAGCTCCAGGACAAGTTTCTAGTATCACCTGAAAATAAATAAATAAATAAATAAATAAATAAATAAATAAATAAAGTGCTATTTGCATTCACAGCAATCACTGCAAAATACTTATCTTTTCTTCCTGGAGAGGGGAAAAAAAAAAAAAAAAAAAAAGAGGATTACTTGATTACTTTGAGCAGCAGCCTCCCTGTGATGACACATACTTAGGAATGGCAAACCATCAATCAGGGGAATGTGACAACTGCTCTCCACTCCTCCTCCTCCCCCAAAGGAAAGAAAAAGATCGCCTAGGATGTAGTGAACAAGCAAAAACCCCATTTATTGAACATCAGCTTTTCAGCACACTGTTGCTTGCTCTCCTTCTCCCATTGGTCTGATCTTTAAATCAACAGGCAGAAAACTCCTATAAAAATATAACATCCTTAAAGTTCAAGATCACAAACTGTTCTAAGCAAAAGCGTCTACAGGAAAAAAAAATGAAAATAATGAAAACCGCCTTAGTAGCAACCGTAACATCTGATCCCATCTAACTCTAAAGCAGACAGCAATTTAAACATGCAAGCAGTTCAGTGACTTTGGTGAACCAGTAAAATTCTGCAAGTTATCCAGGCGCTTGATACCATTCGCAAATATGCAGCCTCCTGAATGACTGGGAGAGCACAAGAACACATCCCAGACTGTTAACGGAAAACAGTGAAAGTAAACTTGCAACAGGAAACTTTTGCAAAGGATTGGATCCGTGCTACAGCTCCCTTCAAGGACTACTTGAAAGGGATGTTACCACTGTGGGAAAAAAAAAAACAACACAAAACTAGTATTTACCAACATGCTGTTGCCTCTGCTTTGAAGTATTTTTCTTTAAAAAGTAGCAATACTGCCTCAGCATGTCTATCACTTAGTATTTAATGTCATTACAGAAATCCGCATTCCTTATAAAATAAGACACTGAGATTTCCAGCCTACCTTAAAAGAAAATCCCTATGGATTAGTTATGGATTAGTTCTGAGATCCAGAACTCAGAAAGTCATCAGCACAATACTTGGAGAAGTTGCTTTAATTTCTACATAATTATAATCAAGGTCAAATGACTGATGACTATCTCCCCCTCCCCCAAACACATTGAAAAAAAAGGCCAAAAAGCACCAGGAACTTCCTAAAGCCACATAATCTATGAGCCTTCGTTTGACCCAAGCAACTACCATATAACTAGCAACTTGGTCCTAAGAACTTGTATCCTAAGAAGAGGTAGGGAAAGAAATACCAAAGTCATGCAAGACATAGAAAAAGTTCAGTAAAAAAGCATTTATTAACTAGAAGAAATCTATGAAAATAAGCAATGACAACAAGAAAAGAAAAAGTAATTCTCTTAAGTTTTACTCAAAGCATAAAACACTTTTAGGAGAATATGTATAATACTACTGGCCAACCACTCTAAAAAGGTCCAAATCCACCTTTCTGAAGATCCAAATCTAGCAAGGACAACCTCTTTATTTAACATAGAAGGTCGTTATGCAGTAATATAAGGTCATTATGGCAGTGCTGAAGTCCTAAATCACAAGCTTCAATTTACCTGCCACAATAGGCTGAATGTTGCTCAACTACAAAAGGTATCTTAACGCACAAAGAAAACCTCAATCATCTACTGCTAAAATTGAATAAAGGGAAATAAGGACTAAGGATGTTAGAAACTTCCACATGCAGAGACTTTTATCCAAGACAGAACAAAAGTAAAGAAAAATCAGGGAATACTGGCAAGTCCAAGGTATGCAGGTTTAACTACTCTCTTTTCGTTTGATATAACGGTTCCCTTCCCTAGTGCCAACATCGGGCCTTCTCAGTGACTACAGAGGGGAGAAGTCACCATAACACAATCGTCCAGTAAAAACTTGGGAATTTGGGACAGGATTAATGAATGTTTTACAGCAGAAGCGATCAAAATATGCTGAGATCTCTACTTCAACATCATTTAGGCAGCCCAAGCAATTACATGTTTTTTACACATTCGGAACTTCAAAAACATGAATTTTGCCATTCCTCCCCTTTTTCTTTTTAAGTAAGAAAAGTTCTGAATCATTCTCATAAGTAGATACATTGAGACCATATTTTATTACCTACATTTTTAGGCACGTTTCAGTGGAACTGGGTAGGATGCCAGCGAGCCCTGCAGCGAAGCGGGTGGGTGACAGGAGGGAAGAGCAGGGGCTTTAACTCCACTAAGAAAGTTGGGCACCTGCCTGGCCAACACAGCAAGACCTCCTCGCGTACCCTATTTATCTTCAAATCTATTTATGCCAGGCAAGGGAACATATGAGCACAGCAGCTGTTACTATAGCAATGAAACGGGAAATTCTGAGAATAAAAAAAAAAAAAAAAAGGGGGGGGGGGGGGAAGGGGAAAGAAAAACACGAAGAGACGTTGGGTTTAGCGGCCTCGGAAGAGCCGGCTGCTCTCTCAAGGGCAGGGTTGGCTCAAAGCTCCGGGGACCGCGACCCGCCACAGCAGCCCGTTCGCAGGGGCACGCGGCGCCAGGTAACGGCCGCCCGCCCGTAACGGCCGCCCGCCCGTAACGGCCCCAGCTCGCGCCGCGCGGTGCGAAACTTGGGCGGGCAAGCGGAGCCCCTGGGCAAGGCGGGAGAGGCCGTTTCCCTGCGCCAGCCTCCCGGCTTTGACCAGGGCAGGGAAAGCCTTCGGCACACAAACGCACCCTCTACCAAAACGTGGGCTCAAACGCAGGAGCCCGAGGTCCTTGCACCTCGGAAGAGGAGGCGGACCTGGTATTGGAAAGATCAGAAAGGGTGAAAGGGCAGGAAAGGGGGAGCGGCTTTCTCCCCTTCCCGGGAGGGAGGCTCTCGCTTACTACCAACTGGTCTAAAAGCAGAGCTGGGAGCTGCCGTTCCGGTGCCCGAGCAGCCGAAGGGCGCCCGGTGCGCGGCTGGCGCGCGGTGCGGGCGGCGCTTACCTGCTAGCGAGCCGGGTCTCTGCAGCGTGGCGGTGGCATAGAGCTCCTGCGAGTGCTTGCCGTACTGCTCGGCGGCGTGCACGAGCCGCTTGGTGGGCGAGAGCGTGGCGTACGTGCCGATGGCGGAGCTCAGCTGGTGGATGGGCGACGAGGAGGCGGCGGCGAGGCTGGCGTGCGCGGGGGGCGGCGAGGTGACGCGCAGCGGCGAGAGCCCCGCCGCCGAGGACACCACGATGTTGATGGGCGAGCTGGTGCTGTACGACTTGGCCAGGCGGCCGGGCGACTGCTTGGGGGAGGAGCCGCGCGGCGCGGCGCCGTAGGCGGCGCCCGCCGCCTTGGTGGGCGAGCCGGCGAGCGGCGCGGCGGCGAGCGGCGAGCTGAGGCGCGGCGCGGGCAGCGTGGAGCTGCAGTAGTAGAGCGCGGCGGCCGGCGGCAGCTGCGGCTCGGGCAGGTGGAAGGCGCTGCCGTGGCTCGGCGCGAAGGGCTCCCGCGCCTGCGACGACGACGCCGAGGACGACGAGGAGGCGGCGGGTGGCGGCGGCGGCTCCGCGCCGCCCGCGTGGGCTCCGCGGCTGCTCGCGCCGGGCTGCGGAGGGAAGGGCAGAGAGAGGCGTCAGCGCGGCCCCGGGCGCCTGGTTTTAGTATGGATTGTTTTTTTCCCCGCTACTTTCAGATGTTAGAAATGTAGAGCCCGAGGGGCTGGGGAAAAGAAAAAGCCCCCCCCTCCAAACCTTTGTTCTGCATTAAAAAATAATAATAAAGTGGCTTAAAATACTGAAGGAAACTTTTCCCACGCGCAGCGAGCAGCGCCCGCGCAGGGGAGGTGCAGGCGGGGCTGGCCGGGGCTCTCGGCCCTTGCCGCCCCTTGGCGCGGGCCAGCGGGCCCCGGGGACCCGCGGCAGCTCCCGCAGCCGCCCTCGCGCCGGCCCGCAGGGCAGGGGCACCGCAGGCAGCCGCCGCACGTGCTGCCTACTGCGAGCGTCAGTTTTTACTGGCTCCAGGGCGAGGGGGGACAGGCACCGCATTAACACGGGGCCCTCGGCCTCCAGGGAGGGCCTGTGGCAGATACTCCCCAGCCTCGGGTGGTGGCACCCCGGAGCAGCTCAGCTTGTCCGTCTCGCAGGGCACCCACTTGTCCCACAGCACTTTTTGCCCAGTCGGGCAGGGGATTTACTGCAAGGCCCAAGAAGGCTCCAAGCGCTGGCCAGCCCCACGCCGGTGGCTGGTGCGGTGCCGAGGAGCCCGCTGCGCCCCGAGCACAGCCCGCGGGTCCTGCACGGGAACTGCTCCTGAAATGGGAATCATGAGTGCTGGGGACTGAGCCTCGTTGCTGCTGCGAATGCCAACTGCAGTGTCACTGCTGGTTTAAATAGAAAGGTGGGTTTTTAATAGCATCCTATAGGAAAGCCACGCAAAATGAAGCACATTGCTGTTACGAAACTTGATTTATTCTGGCTCTGAATTTCACTAGGATACCGAATAAAAGCAGATCAAGGAAAGAGAGATCGCCTTTAGATCAGGAGCTCAGCACAGGAGTAAAGCAAACAATCAGAGCACAAAATAAGCAAGGTTCAAAGTGCCAGAAACCTGCACCTCCTCCAACGTCCTCCCAGCAGAAACTTTGCTCTCCTCTTCTGGGGCTCCTGCAGCCCCTCCCTTCACCTTAAATGCTTCGCATACCTGGGGGAGGAAGGCGCTTGCTTCTGGATACAAAGGGGAAGCCGAGCTCTGAAGCTGCCCCTCTCAGGGGTTTGCTTCCATTTCTGTCATGGAAACTAGTAAGAAGCTCTTGCAGTTTCTGGGTTATCTCTGGCCTGAGCCTCAGGGGCTCCAGGTGCGTCACCCGCTGAGAAGCGAGGTGCTACTGCGTGAAATTGGTGCTGCCCTCCCTCCAGCAGCAGGATCACCCACATCAGCATGCAGCTGTTTTAGACCGGGCTCTTTTAGCAGTGGCCACCAGCTAAGAAGAGCCCAACACCAAGTCTGAGCCAGGGAAGCTCTGCACCAAGGTTTAGGACAGCACGCACAGGGCAAACTTCACATATGACTAGAGGTGATTCAAAGCGATTACTCTATCAATTGACATTTAAGAGTAAATTTTACTTCTTGGACTGTTCATTTGGCAGCACAATAAGACTGTTGGCCATATTCAGCATTGCTCCAGAAGACAATATCCTAGATGCCCCATACTGATAACATCAAAACAGTCACTAGAGGCCTGGAGGATTTGGGGCAAGCAGTGTCAACATGCACGCAGTAACTTCTTTTCTAATCTTCCTCCACACAGCTCTGTGTGTCAAGGATTTAAAGTAATTAATTGGGAGTAAACCAGTATTATCCCATATTTCTAACAAATCTCTCAAAGGCTGCAGGCTTTCTACAAGCACTAATGCAAGAAAAGAATCTCACTTCATGATTACAAGGAAGGGCTTATAGGAAAGAAGGTGTAGCATTAGGACACAGAAATTAAATATTTAAATTAAAAACACAGTGTTTAGCACTTCCTAAAAAGCTAAGCGTTTGCGTGTGAAGGAGAGAACTTCTGGATGAACAGATTGCTATGCAAACATTAGCATGCAGTTTTTTATTCCTAAGATGTGACTAATCTCAGACCTATCTTAAATATATTGTGAGGTTCATCTTTTTTTCCTAGGGTCAAGGATGCAGTAACATTCTCCACCTGTGCTTTCACAGGCAGAACGTGTTTTAGCTTTTCCATATATTGCTCCTGGTCTGTTGTTGAAGACAACCCTACAGACATGTCATCGTTCATCCTGCAATGTTACATAAGGAATAACAAAATACAGCGGCATTTGTTCCATTATTTTTCCATCCACCCATGGTTATTGTCAGGCTGATAATGACGCCATGTGTTGAAGCTAATAAATTGAGACCATATTTGCTTTCCAGTTGTTGTATCTTCCTGTCGCTATCTACTTCGTATGAGGGCGGTGGGGAGAAGGAAAATATCAAGCACTTTACTTTCTGTGGTCCCTATAAATATCCATTCTGAGGCTCAGAGATTTCATTTTTTCTGGTATCTTGCAGAAAATGGGTTCCATTTTGCTGCTTTGGATCCAACATAAGGATTCTCTTTTATCCTTTTAACAGCTTGAATGTGTGAAAAAAATGTGAGAACATTAATGATTTTTTTTTCTTATTTCATCATATTGAATCGTTCACTCTCTACTGATTCTGACAAAACAAGTTCAGCAGAGCTCAATACCCAAAATTACGGAAGGCATCCAGTTAGGTTATTCTAGCTCCTGTGTGCCCACCGTCATTCACGTCTTTATGCACTACATTTCAGGACATCAGCCTTTTCTTTCATACAACATCTATTTAACCAAATTTTGACTAGAACCATAACTTCAATTGAAAACCATCAAATGAAAGGCACTGTGAAACAAGGTTTCTATTTTATGAAGAGGAATTATGATGAACAAATAGCTGTATGGATCCTTTATCCTGCTGACAATTATTCATAGACAAGGAGTTAATAAAATCCTGGATGGCTAAACACCAGAAGCAAAGGTTTGGGGGCAGCTGCTAATTACTGAAATACCAGCACAGTGAATTTGGATGTTGATTCCTAGAGATAGCTCCAAGGTGGAAAAGCAGATTGGGAGACCACCAAATTTTGCAAAGCAATTGCAGAGAAACAAAGTGACCGTTAGGAACGTGCTACATACGTGTGTGTATTGTGTCTATTCCTCTGCACACATCTAAGATTTGTGTTAGTCACCTAAAATCTGTTAAAAACGATTTTCTTCTGAAGCAGGGCAAAATGTGAAAGCAAAAACTTGTTGGTTTTGTGCATTTCACAATTTGCCTCTGTGTCTGCTGCCTTGACTGCTGCCAGCCTCCGGCGCTGCGCTTGATCAGCCTCACCAGAGGTTTGAGGGATACCAGTGATCTCTGGCTTTCACAAACAAAATCAGGTTCTCTGCTCTTTCATGACTGCAACACTTCTCAGTCTACTGAGGGCTTTTTTTTGTCTCCTCTTCTCTCTAGGAACCATCTGTATGTTTTCACCCAAGATAGAGAGTCCTCCTCTGACCCAAACCCTCTCTTAACACTCTTCTGCAAAGAACAAACTGAGGATGCAGAAACACTTGAGATTCTCTACTCAGCGATGCAGAGCTCCGTCCTTGGGTAGCACCACTGAGGAGACGGGAGCGATGAACCTTTTCCTGACGGCTTCCTCTCCAGTAATGCTTGTTGTTCTCTACCTCCTTACAACCACAAATAATCGATTTTATAAAACATGTCATCAGCTAAATGGATGCAGGGGATGGTTCGTGTTGGCTTAGATCCCTGAGGATGTGTACCTTTGTACTGCCATCAAGTTGCCTTTTCATAAGCAACACAGGCTTCATATTGATCTGTCAATAGTTCCGAGACTGGCATCTCATTTCCAAAGAGAGGATTTTGCCCTTCAATTTACCTGGACAAGTGCCAGTTGCAGGTATTTCACAGAAATTATCTCTCAATGACTACAAAGAAGTGTTTTGATTTCCCAGTCCTCCGTGGAAATCCGAAGTCTCATGTGTGTGAAACACGACTTCTTAGAGCTAAGGACCTTTCTTCTGCAGAAATGTTTTGCTGCCTTTGACGAGACCCTGACCCAACTAATACGATGCCACCTATGCTCAAATGCACTCACGTAATAGCAGAGGGCCGACTACCCCTCTGAGTCGCTCATACGTGGTCCATTCTATCTGCTGCTCCAGATTTCATCCCCAAACTATGGTGAGGGTAAGCTCATCTCTATACCCTGCCAAATATACCCCAGGACTACTGGAGAAAAATGTCAGGCAGCCTGACCCTCATCTCAAAGGATGTATGTGCAGATGAAGGGAGGCAGCACCGTCACAAGCCACTTTCATGAACAGTGTGGTATGAGATCCTCTGAAGGCATCCAGAGATGGTCAGTCTGAGAGTTTGAAAGCAGCAATGAAAGCCACAGTCCTTACCTATGGCAGGATCAAACATCAATATGATGCAGAACAATTTCCCACCAACATAAACTGTATTAGCTGTGCCCTGAGATTTCATCTGCCTCCTTTAATGACTGAGAAGTTCTCATGTTCATATTTGGAAGCCAATTTTCATTTCAATGAATTTTCATCGTCTTCTCAATTCATTCCTTAACATCTTCTGTAAACCCTACCAGAGGCCAACGTGAAGTCATGAGTTTATATTTAGTCTGCAAGGAGCATCAAGTGGCCCATCACCTGCAGCGCAGATGACTCATGGCACGATGAGGCAGCCTCTCATTGAAGCAGGCTGGTGTCTGCATTTTGCTCGACAACTGGACACCAGTGTGCATTAGCTAACATTATAAACAGGGCTAGGGATATGTGGCCGTTTGATCAATGACAAGCTCATGTTTACAGGAAAAAAAAAGGAGATGGAAACTAAATATATATATATATATATATATATATTCTAATTGCTTTTGGTTTTCAGAGTGGACAAAATCTGCATTAGTTCATTCAGCCCAGAAGCTTTAGGAGGGGAGGATAATACACAATAAGTTTCTCTCTACTGCTACCTCAGCCTCTGAAAAGACAGCAGGAGCAACAGAAAATGAGATATCTTTACTCAGAAATGTAAACTGGCTTTTCTTCCCTTCCTCCTCCTTTTGCAAATGCCCAGCAGAACGTGTGGTAAACCATGCTTTAGATTCCTGTATCTGCAAGGTAAGTTGACCATTCTTGAGATGATAGTAAAACCAACCAGTTGTCCACAAACCTCTCTTGTTCAAATAGATTATTCACCTTGAGCAATTCATTTGCAGCATCACCACATCGCCCAAGGTTTTTGTAACAGATTCATTATTCTCTTCACCAACCAACCAACCAACAACCCTTTGATTGATAAATATAGGATATATCAGAATTTGGACACCAAGTTTGAAAAACTGTTTTCCACTAGGAAACAGTAATTCTGAGCCATAGCAGCAGCTGTTGCCAGGAAGTTTTACCTTCTAAATGCTACCGAAATGTAAGTTTTATGTTCTAAAGTATTCAAAGCCGTAGAAAAGCTGTGATATATAATGAAGTCCTCCAAATTGAGAAAAATGTGAGACTTCACTTTGCGGCACTATACAGGAAGTCCCAAGACTAATTAGTTTCATTTTTTTTCCACAGTTGCATTTTCAGAAGTTGTTCTTGCTGTCACAGCTGGCCTTGAGACTATTTACATATTTTCCCACGCATTTAGGCTATCATTCACGTTCAGAGATAGTTATAGGCCGTGCACAGAAATACCAAAGGAAATTGGCACAATCTGAGCAGTTATGACTCCTGAGGTTTGTTTTAATTATAACAGCGATAGCAAAACACTTCCAAGGATTGCCTGTCTTCTCCTTAAATGTTGTACCAGAAAAGGTCACGTTCAGAACTTTTTAAGAGACTTCCTCCTCTTCCTTCTGTTGAATATGTTTTATAAAACCTTCTTTATATATTTTATGGTATCATGGTTTATAAGGCAGCTTGCAAAAATTTTCAAGGAACAGTTCTATGGCCAAGCTTCCTTTGCAGGCTAATGAGGTGAAAGATTATTTAGTGCATTCTGTGCATTACTTTCCTGCGTAAACATCTCTCCTGCAATCTGGAGGAAATGCACGCACGCTGTCCCTTCCACAGCTCCCTTCCATCCTCCTGCCACTTTTTTCTCTTTTTTTTTCCCCTAGTGCTCCCATAACCTACCTTCTAAGCACACCTGTTCCTTTCCCGTTGTCTTACTTTCTCTAGCCACCTTGCAAAATGCATCCCAGCCTTACAGAGTGATCCCCAGCAGATGATGCTTTTCGTAGGAGACAACTGCGGATGGCATCTGCCCAGGCTGCAAGGGGGTATCAGAGCCTCTTTTTTCGGTCTAGCTGGAGTCCTGCTCTCCTGCTGGCTCCAATCCCAAAGAACACCAGGGAAGGCTGCTTTGGTAAACACACAAAGACCCTGAGGGTCTTGCTATTACATAGCCTCATTTTAAACCCTTCATCGAGGGGGAAAAAGAAATACGTAACCAATTTGCAATGAAATTTAACTGTGCTTTATTTCATTTTGCAGTCTTTAAGGACAGGGGGCTTTTCTGAGCAAACTGAGTGAATAGCATGAATGTTGCATCTCTCCTGCTATCCCACAAGCTGCGCCATGGCTATATAGCACTTGAATTCTCTTAGCAATATAATGCTTTGAAATTCAAATATAACTCACTTCTAAAGAATCTTGATTTATAAAATGTCCCAGTATCACACTGAGACAGTCTGCTTTACTATGGCTGTTAAGTTCTAAAAAGAGAAAATAACCTGAACTGACCAGTAAAACTCAACCAGATTTTGCTTATGTGCAGGAGCATGAATGCATCTAGCAATTTTTGTCTAAACTGAAGCTTAACTTTCCAGTGAGAGGCTTTGATCTCTCAGTGAAAAGCACAGGAGGTGAGAGGGTTGCGTGCTGCAGCTCAGAAGAATCCCTTTAACAAGGAGAGAGATTTATAAAGTTTTCATGAGTATCTCAAAAAAAAAAATCCAAAATGTTTGAAACACACACGACTGTCTGATAAGTTGTTTGTATTACAATATGGGAAAAGAAGGCAAAAGGGATTCTTTGGAAAGGAATCGGGCCCTGGCAGCAGGCTAGGTATGGCATCCGGAGCAGATTTTGCATCTGTTGCCAGTCCAGCTTTGCTGTGGTTCACTGCTACTTCAGCACTTTCCCTCATACCAAGGCAACAACACAGTGGGGTCCTGGTCCTTAATTAAGCCTTACAATCAGCACAGCAATGCAAAGTTTCAGACCTCCGTGCCCGAGCGTTCGATCAACCAAGTCAATATTCACGTGCCAAAGCAAAGCGGGCACACAAATCCCCTGCTGAACCAGCACTTGCTTGCTCCACACACGTGGAGCAGCTTTAGGGCCACAGAAAGCAGGCTGGTCATTCCGCCCTGCTCTGCGACACGACCGCCAGCAAGAGGCAACCTGGGCAAGCAGGCAGAGCCCCCCGGCTCCCCCACAGCCCTGCCTGGTGTGACCCACAGCAAGGGACAACCCGGGCAAGC